GAATGGTAGCGGTGTTAATGGATTGTCTTCCAAAGAGGCCTTCGCAGACGGTCAGCGAAGCCTCAAACCATTTTCGGGAATCGGGGTATTTCTTGAGGTGCTGAAGCATGACAGCAGCATTGTTCATGGTTGTAATCGAGTCAGGGTGATGAGAACCGTAGATAATCTTCCAGAGTTCGGATGCATGTCTGATGTAAACTAGAGCAGTCTGCGTGTGGCCAGACGCATGCTCGAACAAGCTAAGATTGAGGTAGCTCAAAATAGTGTCAGCGGAGTCAACGCCCATTGTTCTCTCAGTAACAATGACGGCTTTCCGCGCCAACTCAACAGCGGCTTCCTTCTCGTCTGTCTGATAGTAAAGCATGGAGAGCTGATGATACAACTTGGCAACTTCAGGATGAAGGATGCCGTAGATCTGCTCGTGAAGAGAGAGGGACTCCAAGATAAGTTCCTGTCCAATTTCCTTCTGGTTCTGCATTATAGAAATTCGCCCAGCTTCCAGGGCTTCCTCCGCAAGCGCACTTCGCGGGGAAGCATCCTTAACGAGAGGTACAATGTTAAGGATGTCTTCTGGCACAAACGTAACCACGGGCTTAGGGCTTGCCACTGATCGGCTTGGCGAAGCAGCGTTGCTTCCCTTCTTCTTCTTTTTCTTGCTTGGCTCCTCTTGTGAACTATGGGTGCTGCTAGGCGCAGGAGAATGCTCCTGGGACTTGATCTGCGAGTGTTCGAACGTAAACTCGCGGGCACCTATCTGAAGGCCGATTTTAATAGAAATGTCTCGTAGAAGTTGGAGACGTTTGAGCGATGCAGTCCAGTCAGACTCGACGTTGAATCTGAAACGGATTTTGATTTGTTTTTCAATCTCCTCCTTGAGCGAGGTAGGTGTAACCTTTTCGAAAGAGAAGTCACCTTCCGGGTAAATCTCCCTCAATTCCTCATCTATCTCTGGACGTGGGTTTGCATTGACTTCTGTCCCGAGGAAGCAGTTCAATAAATGGGAAACGCAGGAAGCTGTGAAGGGAGGTGGCAGATATCGCAGATGCTGGTTGGCGATATGTTTGAAGGCGCGAGAAATCATTTCCTGGATCAGGAGTGCGCTCAAAGCGACTAGTCTCGATCCCTTTTGTTGAGAAAGCTTCGCCAATTTACCCAGGTATCGAACATTGATTCCTCGCTTGTGGAGAAGCTGGGTTAAGGATTGCCCATCCATTGGGAAGCCAACATCGCCATCGTGCAAGTCCTGGATAAGCTCAGGAATAACCTTGGAAGTCAAGTATTCGCAAGCAGAACGGACTTCCTTCTCGTCCTGAGCCCACTCCTCCTTCTCCTCGTCTGTCTGAGGTACTTGACCGCTGAAGACATCAGGGTTGAGGGCAAGCTTAAACGCAGAGATATCAACGCGTTCCTGTTCATCAGCTGCCTTCTTGTCGCCTTCGCCCTGCCCATTGATCGCTGGGGCCTCAGCCTCGTCTCCCTTAGGCACTTCAATGTCTTCAGCCTTCTCAGCTTCTTTTTTCGCAGCCTTTCGCTTCTCAACTTCAGTCTTCACATATTGACCCATCTTATATCTCCAGTACGACTCAACTAGCTCTAGCCTCAGGACAGACATCCTGTGGGGATATGGCTCATGTCCTTCAGCGTCTTCCGACCAAGCTATGTCTAGCGGAGTAATGCGATAGAGATCGAGCACATATTTACGACCATCCGTACCCAAAAGACCCTTTGTTTCTACGCTTCCCTCCAGATCGTGCCTTTTGCCATCTCTGTCCCAGACCGGATGCTTCTTAACGCGCAACGAAGCGGATAGTTTCTCAAACACTGGCACGAAGTCTTTGTGCTCTGCAACGACTTCCTTACCCTCAACTCCACCATAATCGATTTGGTGTTCGCCAGGCTCGCGTTGCTTGAAGATGCCAGGAACAATGCTCTGGCCAACCAACCGTTTACCCAGGTAGTCAACAACAACCGTTCCCGGAGTGAAGAGACCGGGGATGTCGAGCTGATTGACGGCTTTTACGCCCGCAACGTCCTTGCCGACAGCAACCCTGGCAGCTTCGTCACCACCCTCCGACGCAAAAGTTCCAACCCCATCAGCTCCAAAGGAGAAGAATATATTGTTATAGACAAAAATTTGAGCATCCCTCCCTTCAGTTGGATTGAGGGGTGCAATTTCGCCCCTTGCGACCAATACAGCGCCACGAGCAGCTGCATCGTTGTAGTCAGCAAAAAGCTTCGAAGTCAAACGTTCCCGGAAGACTTTGTCCTGGACCGTTTCCCTGGGGAGTTCTCTTGTGCTTTGGAACTCCTCGTTCCAGTCTCTCAAAGTTTCGGAGTTGTCCATGCCAGAAATTAAATAGTTCTCTTGGGAACGGGTGATATCTGACTGATGGGCTGTGACGGGAGATGAGGTGGATGGCACAAGCCATGGGTTGTTAGGAATAGAGTTTTGGAAAGGGAAAGTAGTCAACAAATCCTTTTTGTTGTTTGATTCCTGCAAAGCTTTAAACGCAGAATCGAACGAGGGAGAGAGCATAGAGATTAAAGTCAACAGGGAGTGAGCGCTATAGTTCTTGGGAGCGGGTCTTGGGAAGGGATCGAATTTGGCATTTGAGCACTTGTTCACATAGAATCCAGAAACGTGAGACGTTATCTGATGCTGCTCGCCTTCATTCGTGGTGACCTGGAGATATAATAGGTGCCCACGTTGGCGAAGATGGTAAGGAGGTGGGTTCCAGGGTGAAAGAGAAATTGCTTTGACCGTCTTGGGCACTTGGGGCTGCGCCCGGGGGAGTATCGTTTGCAGGACAGGCGGGGCCGCCATATCATAGTCTACAAGGGCATGATCTTTGGCCTGCGCATCCTGTCCCTCCTTTGTGTCGGATAATTGCTCGCCAGCAGCTACGGAGTCATGAAGTGACAAACCGGCACAGATGCCGTGCAAGTTGTCAACGCGATCGCCAGCAGCGCCGATCAGTTCTCTTATCCGAACAATATGCATCCTAGCCTCCTTCTCAGTGTAGGGGTCCTCGACTAGGACGACTTCCGAATCAGCCTTGAGGTCCTTGACCTCGGACAGTTCGACGTAGTCATTTATCCTCTCTCCGTTATGCTCCAGGTGGAAGCTCGTGTACTGAAAGGTACCCGGCAGCTCAACGATCGATTGACGAACATCCTGGACTTGTTCCTGGCTCGATACCTATAGGGGAGGTAAGCTTTATTAGCTAATGTCGTTTCCGGCGGAGGGAGAGGGTTTCTCACCGTAACTTGTATGTTGTACGGTTCATGCGGAAGCTTGACTGAAATCTGGAAGAGACCTAAATTCAACCCCAAGTCAGTGGCCAGCGGTCTAGTACGTATGATTGATTCATCTGAATGTTCCCACCTCCTCCATCATGTTCTCCGTCTACGTGATTGCCGTTGGGGAGTTGTTCGTCTCCATTCTTCTCCGCAACCTCTGTAATTGAAAGATTAGCGTCCACAATTGATACATCGTTTTTCTATAGTTACCTAGAGATAACTTCAAGGCATTGATTAGCTGCCTGGCTTGCAAATAAAGTTCTCGTACCTTGGGAATGTTCCTTTTCCTTGGTGGGTTGCTCCATTATTAGATTTTGTTATAAAAGAACAAAAAACGATAGCAGCGATGGCAATCGGTCAATCAAACCGAAAGGGTAGTGGAACAGATAAGGGATCCTCCCAAAGCCCTTCTTTTTTTACAACTAGAAACTCAATGGGTGAAATAAAACAACGGATTAATAGAAATGAAAGACGAAAGGGAAAAAAAAATATAGCAAAGGAAGGAAATATAGCAAAGGAAGGGCCGGTCTAAATTGCTGCAAGGAGGGAAAACAGAGCTTTTTTTCTAGTCGATAAAAAAAGAAATTCTTTCCCGCCAAAACGGCAGCAAGATCTGGAGAAAATTTCACGGAAGCGGATTTTCCTTTCGGAATGTAACGGGGGTTCAAGTGTTAAACTCGGCGTAAAATAAACATGGGGTTAAACCTTTTCAGGACAGTCAGCGGGCCGAGTGCGAACAACGAATGTAAACGATATTTTCCATCGTCATGAAAAAACAATCAACAGAAATTTACAAGGAGCTTGATAACCACACTATTCTGTCATCAAAGAGTTATGGCTACTGTACTCCGTACGGTGTGTGTCTGTTCCCGGAAATATATAGGCGAGGGCGAGATCTATTCAGCCCCATTATTGAAAATTCGAAACCGCAAATGGCGGGTACATACACAATCAATACACATCGTCCCGGGGTGATTTCGCCGTTTAGGGCCATTTCGCCTCGCCCTGCAGTAACTGAAATTGCAAGGATTCTGAATAACATAACCACAGAAAATCTGCCAATCATTCTCAAACTTTACACCTCTAGCACAAAATACATCTGCATCTCAGCTATCATGACTGGATTTGATGTAGATGAGGTTTGTGTTAGAATAATTGCGGATGTCTGACAAGGTTAATTGATAGAGGTGATGAATTGAATGAAGTGGTGGTGCTATGACCTTCAGAGAAAGGTAGACAAAAGGATCAGAGCCATTTGTTGCTCTCATTATTGCTGTCACAAGCAATGTTCATCCAGATGGCGATTCAGGGATGCAAGGCAGGCAGAGAGCAATGTGTTCATTGTAACTCAACATTCTGCAGTCTCGTTCTAATCAATGCAATTCCAGAACTGAAATGCAGCTGGGACGGGAAAAAGTACAGGAGCCACTACTCCGTACAAGTATTGACATGCGAGATGATAGCTTATGCGCCACACCTAGGTAACTAGTTATGCATCAAGATCGAGTTGAACAAGATGGTAAGCGCCGAATAATTTTTTGATGGGCCACTTGGCAAAATGTAGCCCGTTGAAAAGATTTTTGGCCTTTTCTGTGATATTAATTGGGGTCTAGAAAGTAGGTATAAATATTCCATTCAAAGAGGTCTCGAGTTGAAACTTGAAGACAAAAAATCATTATTATTATTTTTTGGGTGAGTGATTTGAATAGTCCCATCTGATTGGTGGGTTTAAATTCTGGGGCAAACCCAAAGCCATCCTTGGTTGAACCAACCCTTTTTCGCTAAAACCGCAGCTTTTGTTCCGCGATGTTTGGCTGCGCTGGTCGGTCGGTCACCAACAACAACCCATTGATTTTCCAAGCTGAAATCTGTCACAACGACAACCGACATTCTTTTGCATAAATGCTTTTTTCCTTTCTTATTAACCTTTCGTTTTTTCACAAAGGATATTTTTAATATCAATTCCATTCATTTTCCCCTCATTTCATGCGGACTCCAATGTCTCCACCTTGGTGTTAAACCCATCATTGGACGGCAAGCTGGAAGGTCCAAGGACCCAGTCGCAAATCCTTCAGGTTTAATTTAGCAACACACCGTCTAAATAGGCAACGCGGACCTCCAACCTGAGTAATAATATCTACATCTATGTTTCGCGCTATGCGTTTGAATCGTGTATGTAGCAACGCAAAAGTGTTTTTTCCTCCCAGACCATGGGCGGCTCGTCCCCAATTTCTCCGTCCCTGGAATGTTGTTGTTCCCGCTGCGCGGCGGTGCTATGCGCAGAGTGCACCCCCTGTCGGGCCCCAATCCATTAATCAAGATATGCCTGAAGAGGAAGATGATAAGAGAAAGAATCCGAAAGATGAAGAAGAGCCTTCTCTAAGAACCACCCTCTTTAAGATGATGGAATCTGCAGCGACCATGTTTGCATCAATCGCTGTGCTCGGGTAAGAAGTCAACCTCGCATGGCGCCTTATGCCGCCCTCTTTGGAGCCGGATATCGTTCCCTAACTATTTTTTTTTACACGTCCAGTGCGGCAGGGTACTCTTATCACCGGTACTATAAGTATCTAGTCCTAGCAAAAATGGACAACGCATTCAACCCCGGCGATCCAGCTCTCGAAGTTGCTGGCGTAGCGCCATCAATGGGTACCGATGGCAGTGACACAGGCCACTGGATCGAGCGCGAGGAGCAAAATAAAGTTGATCAAATAGTCAATGGCACCATTCGCGGCCATTACTATCTTCTCATCGGCGAAAAGGGTACAGGGAAGACCTCCATGCTTCTCGACGCCATGAGAAAGATTGATGGCGATGGCGTGGCATTTTTCGAAGCGCATGCAGATCTTGAGATTTTTCGTATCCGCCTTGGCAAGGCCTTGGACTTTGAGTTTCATGAAGAGTATGTATAAAAGTAAAAACATTGAACTTTTAAATATGCCGGGACGCAGTTGTTTTATTAACTAAGCGGATTGTCTGTTATAGCTATATTGGCAGCCTGTTTAGTATTAGAGGGCCCCGAGACACCACTGCCTTGCTAGACATTGAACGAGCTCTTAACAAGCTTGAGAAAGTCGCTCTTGCGCGGCGGCACAAGGGCGGGAAGCCCCTCATTTTAATTGTTAATAGTACCCATCTAGTTCGAGACGACGACGATGGGCGCGATCTGCTAGAAATGATTCAGCAGCGTGCTGAGCAATGGGCAGCAAGTAGCTTGGTTACGATGAGTAAGTAGTTATCCCGCTCAACCACATACGCAACCTACCTTTGTATTAACAGTTCTCTTTTTCTCAGTTTTCAACAGCGATGATTACTGGGTGTATGAGCGGTTAAAACGTTATGGTACCCGAATGGAAATAATTCCTCTCCCGGATCTTCCCAAGGACCGTGCAATAATGGCCTTACGGCAGTACCGACAAAAATATTTCAATGAAACTTTGGACGATTCAATACTCGAAAAAGTGTATGACAAAGTTGGCGGACGACTGACATTTTTGAATCGCGTGGCGAAATCGAAGGACATGATGGAGACCTGCGCGACAATATGCCAAGCAGAGAAGTCATGGTTTCTCAACAAATGCTGGATCTTAGGAGAGGAAATGGACGATGATGTGATGGATGAGCAGAAATACTCGGTATGAAACGCCTCATCCCACCATTTTCTGGAGTCCTTCTTTATCCTTAGCTTCTATTCTTTTTTTTTTTTTTCTCTTTCGCTGCTGATAATATTCTCCAGTCCGCCGCCATGGTCCTCGCCAAAGAGCTAGTTGACCGAGAAAAGGAAATGGAGTGTACATATGATCCCGAAAAGGGCCATATCCTACCGGAGATTCCTCTCCACGAAGCCCGACAAGTCATGACGAGAGCAGACTTTATCCAAAGCTACGATCACGACAACATATTTACCATCGACTCCAGAGGCATGGTTCGCGCCGACTCTGTCCCGATGCAAATCGCCTTCAGAGAGATATGCTCTGAACCAGGCTTTGCAGAGCATCTGGAGAAGACTCTGGACAGAATCAACGATATTGAAAGCTTGGGCAGGACCCGGGAGCTTACTGTTAAAGACTTTTGGAATAATGGGTCGTTTAAGGCGGTCATTCGTGATACGAAGGGCAGGGAGGCAGGGACTGTTGAGATTGGGGTGGTTAAACCGAAGGATGAGGACGATGATGATTAGAGGGGTGTTTATTCATTGCATTTGAAATGATGGATGGATTCTCCTTTCTTTTTCTTTTCTTTTTCCTTTCTTTTTTTCCTATACCAAGTATACGGCCCCTTCCATTTCTTATATTTTACAAGACCACTTTCGCTTAAAGAGCTCGATGCAAACATCGACTGTTATCCTCGGGCCTGACATGCGCTCAACATTTCCTATTTTCTGCTGTACTTTCTACGATAGATTTCTTTCGGTGGCTCCATACTTTCTGTGCTGATCTTGCTTGTATATAGCTCACTTATCCTGATTCAAAGACTCTCTCTACCTAGCGAAAACTTGTTAATTATCCATTCCACCATAATTTGATGTAAATAGCCTTTACTGATAAAGTGAGGAAAACTCCCTCTAATCCCCTCATTCAGAAGGACAGTTCCCGCAGCAAAATTATATTTATTTGTTTGCTTCATGGCTCTCAATCAACAGTGATATTCATGTTGTCATGTCATGCCCAAAACAAAACTGGTGGTCCAGTTGACCAATCAGGTTCCATCAAGCGCCGAAGCTCATTGCAAATCGTGACATCATCGCTTCCCTGCAACAACAAACTAAACTGGGAGCCAAAATAAATACCAAGCTTTCTACGCAATCTATGCCACTTCCAAGATGAGCTTCTGAAGTTCTTCTGCTAGTCCATCTCCAAATAAACAAATAAACATACGCGCCGGTTCCTGAATATTTTGTCGCCATCCAGCCCGGGCGCAAGAAGAGTGCTAAGAGGAGCACACTGTGTTTAGCAATGCCGCCGAAGAAGTCGTCGATGACAACGAGGTCGAGCTCGCTGGGGAAAGGGAAGCAAGCTCCCCATGAACATGAAGCGCTGCCAACGAAGGGCAAGTTCAAATCGTTTAGCTGGATTCATTGCTTGTGCCGGTATAGCAGCCTGGTGATATGCAGCTTAACACTTAGCACTGTCCTATTTTCTTTGAGCACACAAATTACACAGGGAGATTTAGCCTGGACGAGCAGGCATTTTAATTCCTGGTGGCAGATTGGAGGGTTGCTTGCATGGAGAACTGTTGAGTTGACGATTGCCTGGATATTGGGATATGATGGTTAGTCCCCTGGCGAAATCCAAAAATTCGCCGCAACCGCCATATATAGATCAGATGCTGACTGTTGATACGCTCCCTGCCTTGCCAGCTCGCGATGTCGCATCCTTCACTTATCTAACTCACCTGCCAACCTATTCCCTCCTCTACAGCTTCTACGGCATCCGCCCGACAACCCTAATGACAGTCGCCTCCATAACCATATTGTCGACAGCCCTCCCATTCCTCCTCTTCCGCAGCTCCAGCCGCGTACACGAAGAGTACCCATTCATGCGCCTCAGCTGTTCCGGTGCCCACACCAGCTCCAAGACCACTCGCAGCGCCAAAACTACCAAGAGCAGCCTTAAACACCAACACCACACAATCCTCACAGACTGCCCAACAACCCTCTACACCACCCTTGTCGCCGCATGCATCTACACGATAATCCTCTATAGCAGCCTCGCCACCTGGCTCCCAACCTACCTCGTAACCTATTACGACGGACTCCCTGATCTGCGCATCGCCCATGTCGGGCCCAAGGGCTTCGTCTCTCTACTCGTCGCTTTGCTGCCTGCCGGCTACTCCCTGCGCGACTTCCTCTTTGTCAGCTCTGTTGGCGCAGCGCAACTTGAAGAACAGCAGCATAAAAGGGTAACAGTGGCAGTAGAGGAGGAAGCGGAAGGGGAGGGTAAAACTGGCGGAAAGAAGGCGCGCAAGCACGATGAGGAACGCGCTGGTGAATTTCTGGTCACGTCACTATATCGCAAATACTGGCTCTCGTTACCGGCGAAGACGCGGATGTTGGTATCACGCACGACGGTGTTGGCAATGATGACCATGATGAATACCATCATGCAGGTTGTGGGGACGATTAGCGGGGCGGAGATGGAAGGAGCGATGGGGTGGGGTGCGATTTGGACTCTAGCGACGTGCGTGACTGGGGTGATATTCGGGTGGGTGGAGGCGGTGGATGGGCTATGAAATTAAAAGTTGTTCTCCTTATTTTATGCATTTCTAGGCTTTTCTTTTCTTCTTATTGCTTGTGTTTTTACTTTTTACTTTTACTGTTTTAATGATAACTATGCCCAGTCCGTTCTTATTTCCTCTACTACCTCTACTACTAGCCGATGTCATCGGCTGTAGTAGCTGATTCCTTTTCCGTTTCCCCCAGTGTCATTTTGACCGCTCATTATTTTCTTCTCCCATGTTATGATCTATTTTATCTATCCGGTTCTACCGTTGCGATTGGAGTTCCCCATTTCAGTTTTATCGGCAAGTGGCGCAAGAAAATGTGTAATGGAAAAGAGGGATAAGGCGCTTTGTATTAGTTGTGAAGCTGCTGTTTTTTTTTTTCGGGGCCATTTCTATTTGGTCCGCGAAAAACTTGCTCTCTAGCCAGCGATGTAATGATGTGGGTTGGGTGAGTAAATTGGAACCTGGGTAATTAAGGGAAATAGTGATTTAATAATAGTTTGAACCCAGGATACCTTGATTTGTTTCTTTGAGTTGCATTTATGGATTCTTAATACAAACAAAACCTCAAAAAAGCTGAAAACCAGAACTCAGCCAAACCAGAGCCGGAAATAACAGATGAATGAACAAATATAGAAGTCGAAAAGAAAAGCGGATAGAGTGACAGGGCAAGAGTCGCAGGAATGAAAATAACGCGAGAGGAAAATTGGAAAAGTACAGAATATATAATAAAATAGGGATACGCATTCAAACCCACGAAAAGGGTACCCACCGCTTGTCATGGCTTCAATGGAGCCCTAAGCTGTCGCAACAACCAAACCGTAAACTGTGCTATCCATACTCCACAGTCCACCAGTCTCTTTTCGGAGATCATTAAATAAAGATCACCGTTAACAAGCACATCCTTCCTTCGCAGTCGCCGCCCCACGATCCCGTAAATTAATCCGAGAATCCTCCCCAGGCCTCCCACCAAGGCCACCATTACCCACACCAGCACCAGCACCAGCACCAGCACCAGCACCAACGCCCCTCGCCCCCTTCAAACTCGTTTCCGGAATCGCATTTGCAATCGCGGTGAAGACCTCAGGCACGTTAACGCCCGTTTTTGCGCTCGTCTCGAAGAACAGAAGCCCTTCTTCCTCCGCATACGCGCTTGCCTCACGAGTAGAGATTTTTCGCGCATCGCCAGCTGGAGAATCCTGCTCCTCCTCCTCCTCGTCTCCCTCAAGGTCTCGCTCGACAGCATCAGAGGAATCATTGTCGCCACCTTCAGAAGCATCCGTTCCTGGTGACCCAGTTGCTGGGGAGGAAGCTTGTATGCCTGTTGTTGATGCTGCTGCTGCTGCGCTGGAGTCTTCGTTCGTTAGATCCAGCTTGTTACCGACAAGAGCAATGACGATGCCTGGACTAGCTTGTCGCTGGAGCTCGGCAACCCAATGCTTAGCCTTTATAAGGGAGGACGGTTTAGTGAGGTCGTAGACGACAAGCGCGGCTTGGGCGTTGCGGTAATACATGGGTGCGAGGGAGGCGAAGCGCTCTTGTCCGGCTGTGTCCCATATTTCAAACTTGATGGTTCTGGTTGGCAGGGAGCATTTTTGAGTGAGGAAAGCGGCTATAGTTGAGGAGTTGGGGCGATCATTAGATTAGCTCACAGGATAATTTACCAGAGAATAACTAGTTCGGAGGAGTGAGATGTTATGTGAAAGAAGCACCACGTCTCATACCTCCTATCGTTGGTTCTTTGTTTTCTTGGAAATCATTATTTACGAATCGCAGGACGAGAGATGACTGCAAACCATAAATACATGCATTAGCAGAAGAATCTCAAAACATATCATAGGAGTTCCGTGTCGAGTAGGCCAGTATATAATAGCTATGAAATAAAACAAACCTTCCCGACAGCAGCTTCTCCTAGGAGCACTAACTTCACGCTGCTACTAGGTTTAGGACCAGTTGCGGCTCCTGCATCTGCCATAGTGCTGTATTCCTTTGCTTTCTTTTTATAACACCTTTTCCAACGTCAACTAAGAAAAATGGACGTATAAATCGTGGTGGTCGATGATTTAGGCAACACGGCGGGGCCCGGATAGCCGTGGAACACAAAGCTATCAATCAAGAGCCTTTTATGATGTATCCCCTTCCCCGTTCTGCTTTATGGTAGATATTATGCTAATAGGCAGACAGTGAGTGCTCACAACAGAAGATGGAAGAATGTAGGTGCCGCCTCTGTGCGTAGGGAGAAGTCGTGAGGATTCAGAGCCAGTCACAATACAGCAGAGTGAGACAAAGATACACAAAAGAGCCAAAGCAAAAAGAGTAGTATAAAATGTATATTCCAACAAAGTCCCGGATGGTAAATGAACCTTGGTCAATCGCTGGGGTGCGGTGCATAGGAAGCCTACGCCTGGCTTGATTGATTCGAGGCAAGGCGGAGGTTGATGATGAGGCACCTTTCCTAATCAGGAGTAGTTAATGGCTCCCAGCACTAAACCAAAGATAGTTAGAAAATATGGGTTTCTGGATTATATAATATCCGACCAACTGGCTCTCTTTTTCTCCGAGCAATATGTATGTATGATACCAATGAGCATACCAGATCTCTGATACCCTAAGCTCAAAAGTCAGGCTTCATGTTCAACCACTAATCAATTAATTGATTGTGGGGACACGTTGACCAAAAGAGGAAAATATTACTGTTGGGCGTCATCGACTCATCGGTCAACGACAACAAATACAGAATGCCCAAGCACCGCAAGCGGGGTATATATGCGTATATAGATCTCAATATTCCGGAAACAGAGAAAGGCGGCCTTTTACGACTATGACTCCTGACGAAAGGTTTTCTCCAATAGCCTAGCTCGAATCACTTTTATTTCATCTTGTTTCCCACAGAACTGGGCCAGAGGAACGGATAGCAAAAAAGAAATTGTTGCTGAATACCTGTGGGAGCTACTCCGAATAACATTATCTCTATTGACTATTAATTTACAAAGAAGACTGTAACATAAAACTAACTTTTTGATAAGCAATATCCTATTGCTCTGTGTCATCCCTACCTAAAAGAGAAGTCGAAAATCAGATGAAAATAAAATAAAAAGCTGTGCTCTCTTTCGGTTTGTGCTTTTTGTGATAAAGATGACCAAATGTATTCCACCAACCGCTCCGGATAAAGTTTCTACCTGATCGTACTTGCCCAGTCAAACATTTTCTCTCGAAATATGACTGTATCACGGATGTACCCAACCAAATTCGATCTAACGTGCCACCGTAGAGGGTTAGTCAGTATCGCGTACACCAGTCCTTCGCCAAAAGCTATATATTTCAAATGGTGTTGAGCCATGTTTGAAAGACATTCAGCTATCAGTTTTCGAAGCTTAAGATGGTTCAGCTTTTGCATGTCAAAACTCAAATCACCAGCAAAGTCAATATGAAGTGCGCGCAATAGGGGAAGCTGAAATACTAAATGGACATCGGCCTTCACGTGGAAGCAATAATAAAAGCGAATCAGCACACATTCTACACCTAGATCATAATGATTGGCTTACCTGGCTCTGCTCGAGGATTTTAAACCCGAGTTCCTCCAATTTTGTGCAGCGTGAGGACAATGAGTCCAAAAGTTTTCGATCAAGAAGGTATTCGCTTTCGTCTGGCCCTTGGGCATGTATTGCAAGAACCCTCAAGGACTTAGAGTGCTCGCTGATTATGGTTTCCAGGAAGATTGAAATGGGGGGAAGATGTCGTGGTAATAAACAAGTTGTAAGCTGGAACACCTCCAGACCATTACATGAGCAGATAAAGTCAGTTAAGCCTTCAGATATCAGGTTTGTACGCAGAGTTGTCGGCCGCATGCCCGCCGCAACTGCCCCTTCCCAAAAGCCGATGTAATCGTCTGGCGGTAGGAATGAACCGATTTCTAGTGTCAATTCACTTAAACACGCAGCAGAAATATGTTGCCAGATAGATGGAGCTGAACATCCCACATTGGAAAATCTTCTCAGATCAAGGGCTTTTAGGTTAAGAATCTTTGGCCCAGGCCAGCCAGAAAAAATGACACCAAGGGACAATATTACATCTTCATCCGCCCAGATGGCAAGTTCACTCAGTTGCTCTGTAGAAAATAGTGCATTGCCAACAGATTGAAGAGCTGATGTGATTTTGACGTCAATAATGTTCAAGAAGCGTAGTTTCGAATAGCCCCCGAATTTCAATGTTGGATGAAAATATGGTGTTGGACTGCCGTCTGTCGCCACTCGTAACTGTAGATACTCCATTCTGTCAGATAGCGCAACCATTGAGATCAATTTCTGTGTTGGCGCAATCTGTGAGTCCCAGCTTCAATTCCAAAAAAGTCAGAATTTCGACCTCGTGGGCACATGGTGGGCACAAAACCGCGTCGCTTCTGAGCTAGGATAAGAAGCAGGGCTCACATGAAAGCTCGCAACTTAGGCATTTTAGACACACAAATAGTGATGAGGGTGTTCAGCATTCGGACAGCTGGAGACACAACATTTTCTAAACCCAGCCTTGACTCGATTTCATCATATGCCTGATACCATGTTCCTGATATCAACACTCTTGTGGTATGCCTGAGAAGAGGGAAATCCTGGTCAGAGAATACTTCTAGCTTCGAGAGCAGGGCGTCTGTTGCACTTATATGGCCGGGAAGATGGAAATGAACGGTCCGATACAGGAACGGTATGGCGATCTCATTCACATTTCGAGAAACTCTTACAAGTTGAACAAGATCACGAGGGTGAAGCTGCAGTCGTAACATCATAGTCTTAACAAGAGGTTCTGAGAAGAACCATCCAAAAGGGAGACAAGCAGAAGAACGCAATTAGAGGACTGATTAACCTGATGAAAAATCATATCCAGCGCATCCAAAGGCAGAGTGAAAAGGCCTATACTGACGCGAGAGGTGGAAACCGCTGGGTATTCTTCGACGGATGCCATGTGGAGGGGAAAGCAAACTTTCTTGGTGACAAACCCTTTTTGAATAACGAGTACAATGATAAAAGTCACTCCAAATTGTGAAAAAGAGAGGACATTTAGTTCTGTAGCATTTCGCTTTGCCACTGAATGATGTGATAAAGTATGTTCTTATAGTGCCGATCTTTTAGGGCCTAATCCCCGAAAATTTGAGAGTGCGTAACTACCGGAGCAATTTTAATCCGGTAACTACTGGGGTTTCAAAATAAATTTCTAGTGTGTGTGGAGGACTTCCAGTCATATCAATATCGGCATCAAGTATCTCCGTTCCATAGTACCGTACCTGAAACCTTACCCCACATTTTTTGGCTTTGACGCTGCGAGAAATCCGTGATGGGGCAATAATCTTGCTCACACTGGCGTTCCAGTCTCGCGACAGTATCGTCAACAGCGCACGCCAGTCTTGAACTCAGAACGGGACATTTGTATGGACATTTGAGCCTGCTGGTCTATCCGTCAAATGCCCCCACTGAGGCCTCTCGCGTCTCTTCCGGTCTCCCGGCGACCTACCACTAGTCCTGGTCAGGCACCCTCTGTAAAGATAGCCATACCGAGACTCAAAATAAAGCCTGGGTGTGAGCCTGTTTCCTTCGGGTCGGCGACCCGCCAGCGTGTCACCCAGGCGTGCGGGCCTTGTCGACAGCGGAAGTCGAAATGCCCCGGGGACAAGCCAGTCTGCAGACAATGTCTGGAACTCAACATATCATGTTACTATACATATGGGAAGCGGGAAATGGCAGAGAAGTGCGACATATTTCTTAATAGTTTACACCAAGCCATTCTTCTGCTGACATCCCTCGAAGAAACCTAAAACATTTGTCTAATAAGATCCAAGATTATGAGGGGTTGCTTCATGACTTGAGTCTTCGAGCAGACGATCAGGACGCACAACTTATAAGAATGACACTACAGAAGGTAGGGTACCCTTGGCCGCCTTGGCATGTTGTACGTACCTGACCGCAGTTAGCACTCCGAGCGGGAAGATACCTTGGAATCTTTGGAAACTTCATCCTTGACCGAGGCTGATTTAACAGAAGATTCCCCTCGAGCATCCTCGGTCGAGTCCGCAGCGTTTATGGATGACCATGCCGAGGAAGATTTTAACCGAAGCGAGAGAGCGCAAGCTACGGGCTTCATGGGCCAAAGTTCTGAGATAAGCTGGATGCAAAGATTGCAAAGAGAAGCCGACCATGGCTCAACCCAGCAACATGATGATCATTTTAATGGCCCCGACGGGTTACACGCGGTTCCTGAATCGGACATTAATGATGTCTATAAGGATACATCCACTACCTCCGCAAGCTATCACCTTGATGACTTGGGGGTCTCCATTTCGGAAGCAGTTGAGCCTTACGCAATACCCCCAAGGGAAACCGCCGACAAACTCTTCAATGCCTACCTTGTCTCGGTACATCCCTCTTTCCCGATCATTGGGAAAGCAGTTTTCACTTCACAGTATAACTTATTCTATGACCAGCCTTCCGCAATGCCAGGCCATAAGTGGTTGGCAATATTGAACATGATATTTGCCATTGCTGCCAAGTATTCGCTCCTCATTCAGGCGGGCGGGGGAGTAGATGACAGGGACCATCTGATTTATTTTACACGGGCAAAGGCGCTCAGTATGAATGGGGATGCGTTCTTCAGCCACCCCGACTTACAGCGGGTGCAGGTTGAAGGCCTAGTGGCCTTTTACTTTCTGGCGACAGGCCAGATCAACAGGTAGGTTTGAGAGATAATCCTTTGTTGGTTCTTTCTTGATAGCCGCCTCCCTTTGACTCTTTTCCTCTTTCATACCCTTCCCCAGCCGCCGCATCATTCAGATAACACATCTTAATCTGTGGTTTGGCAGGTCGTGGAAATTCTCCGGCATCTCTGTTCGATCCGCATTTGCACTAGGGCTCAACCTGCGCAGCGGAACTGCAGATACCAGTGATATTTCAAAAGAGATACGGTACCGTGTTTGGTGGTCCCTGTACACCCTTGAACACCTACTTTCCACCATGACTGGCCGACCTGCCAGCATTGACGATGGTGTCTGCACAGCGCCCTTTCCTATTCCATTTGAGGAAGAAAATTTTCACGATGAAAATGTGAGCCAGCTTCTCAACCTGCATTCTTTCCGGGACCGACGCGTTAGGAGTACCATATCTAGATTGTCTAACATATCAACTCGGACCTCAACCTCGCTGCCGGCAAGCTCCACATCCGGCCCGGCAGCAAACCATGATCAAGCTCAGGAGCAGGTTGAAACCGATTGGTTGAGGACAATCACGCCCAATGCCTCGCTGTACTTTCTCTATTTTGTTGACCTCACATCCATTATGCAGGAGGTTATTCGCAGCTTATATACCGCTAGAGCAATTCACACCGCCTGGGTCGATACTGAACATCTAATTGCAAGGTTGAGCTCGAAGACTGAAGCTTGGCGTTCCAGGCTTCCAGAGGCATATGATGTCACCATCAGGAAGGGATCCGCAACTTTTCAAAGGCAAAGATTGAATCTAGCGTTTCTCTACTATAGCACTAAAATAACTCTTACACGCCCTTGTCTCTGTCGTCTTGACCGGCAGGCAGCACACACCCGAAAATTGAAAAAATTCACTCACGACACTGCAGCACTATGCGTCAGCTCGGCTTGTCATATGTTAGATCTGATACCTGATGAACCTGATGCTATCGGGCTGAGTAATATGGCACCATGGTGGTGCGTATTGCATTATCTTATGCAATCGACGACAGTGTTGCTTCTTGAGTTAACCTTTCGCGCACGACATATGCCTGATGATGCGAAGACTATTTCGAATGCAATGAAAAAGGCCATTCGTTGGCTCCATCACATGTCTCAAGAGAACTCTGCCTCTCACCGGGCATGGATGCTCTGCGACGGTTTCGTTCGACGTCTTGCGACTGATATTGGGCTCGATGTCAGTGACTTGCCTATGCATCCACGGCAGCAAAACCCTACTGTTATACAGACACCCACTATGACTACCACGTCCTATCCAGAACCAAATGCTACTCCATGGGAAGTACCTCATCAAAACCACCTAGAACCATTAGCTTCTTCTTTTTTTGTCCCGGTGCCTTACGGCGAAGTTATGCACCCGGCAATCTGCACTGACTATGACGAATATCTCCTATATACGACAGCTACAGAAGAAACAACTAATTATTTTACCCCTACATTCCCAGATATGGATCAAACGTAAATTTCATTTACGTTGCCTTGCTTTTTTCTAAGCCTCCATCTACTTTTTCCGATGGCGTTCAGGCTGGATATAATGGTAGAGAAGCATTATAGTGATTGAGAAATGGCTATTCACAATCTCATGCCTTTTTTTGGTACACCTCAAGTACCTAGCTGGTTTTGTAGCCTCGTATTTCTCAAGATTGATACTGTTGAATCTTTTTTCCTATATGGTTTGCTCCGTCTGCTGAGAGCCCCCATGAAGACAAAATTTTTGGCTCCATGAAGCAGATCATACACTCACTTGGCCGACACACCAAAGGTTAACCATCTGCTTACCCACTGACGGTATCAAATCAATCTACCCTTTCGATGTTCTGCTAAAGTATCATGTTCCTCAAGCAGCTAGTAGGAAATAGCGATTGCGATAACCATGTTTGGGAGGTGCCTCGGTCAGATATAGAACTGCTGGGGATGTCAGCAGGTTATTCTAGTACCGGTCTTATTGCCCTACTCAGCTTAGGCTGGAAGCCCGCTCTTTCTTCTCGAGATGGAAGTTTCAGGGGTGGCGGGGCGGGAGAAGAGGCTGTCATGGTTGGGAAAGTAGTGATGCGGAAAATGACAATAGTTCTAGAAAGATTCAATTTATTAGGTGTTACGCAGCGGTTCCATAACTCATATTCATACATACATCTAAGGAATCCAAATTGATGGCGAGCCTGTAACCCTCATCCCATTCAATGAGTCAATGAGACAAAAATGACAAAGGAAACATTGTCGCAAAAGCTTTCAGTTCTTGATAGATCTCATTAGTCCCTGACTCATTTCATTTCAACCATTACATACTTCGAGCTAACTTCGCTTGATAGCTGCTTATTATGATGATCAAGGATCTCGGAGAGGCTGCTAGTATGGCAGGAAAATTCAAATCCTCGTCCATTAGCACTATGCCACATGTCTTATGGCCCCCCCTGGGGGGGGGGGGGGGGGTGCGAAACCTCTGTTCTGGTATGGGGGACGCCTACATTAGGGTTTTCCAAGTATCCACTGGCAAGTTGACGTAATCCGTGTCAGAGACTGACCATCTTTGTTCCGAGACCGGTTCGTCATCGGGGTCATGGTAAAATGAGACGTATTTGTGAAGCAATGCCTGGTTGGCTTGATATCTCGCTTTGGGATCGAAGGCGAGTAAGTGCTCCGCGAGCCCCATGGCTGGGAGAGGCGGGGAGGCGGGTTAGCTATCATTGTAAAAAGGTTTGTTGGACAGGTCCATTCCTACCTTCAAGATCAGTGGTATTGATATAGCACCTCAGGGGCTTGCACCGGGTGTTCAGGAGAGGCTCGAGATTTTCTGATATCTAAAGGTTTTGGTTGATTAGGCAAATAATTATTTATTACCCTGCGAGGGTACTTCAGTGTAATTTGTCATTGATACGCACATTTGCATCATCGATGCCACTCATCATACTTCTAGGAGGATACCCAATCGCGTGGAGCGAGTTGACTTTCCAGTCTTCGAGACTGAATAGTTCTCTATTGATCATCCTCGCAAATATATATCCCACACTCCACATGTCGATGGCGAACTCGTAGGTACATTCACCCAATAGGAGCTCAGGGGTACGGAAGCATTGAATCTCACTGAAAGGCTCCGTTACCTTTGTGCCCTGAATGCGTGCGTGGTCGAAATCGGTTATTCGTAGATCACAGTTGTGACCAATGAGGATGTTGGATGGTTTCAGATTGCAGTGCACCACGTTCGCTGAGTGAATGTATTTCAATCCTCTCTGTAACATTAATTAGACCAAGCCGGAAGGAAAAGAAAAAATGGGATTATCTGTTGGTGCGGGAAACTCCTTACAAGAATTTGATAGAGAAATACTTTCGTGTAATGAGTTTCCCCAAGAGGCTGAGATAGGATAAGCTGTTCGAGCGACGCATCTTGATGTTCGGTTATGAGGTATCTGAATGTTGACAAAAGTCAGACACCGTTCACACTAAAATGGGAAAATTGTAAGGCTTTCAGTTACATATTGTCCTCTGGTGACATGAACACATCTCGCAGAGCAGCAATCTAAAGACATGACAATTAGGTTAGCAAAATGGCCAGCACGAAGATTCAGTAGTATTTCAGAACTTATTAAAATTCATTCTGAACATTTTCATGTTTGAGATGCTTCAGCAGCTTCAGCTCTAAGTATGCTTTCTGAGAAAGCTCAGAGTTTCTGAATGGCTTGGTTATCTTCTTGACTGTAACTTGACTGCATATCAACTCATCGATCGCGGAACTGTTTAATATAGATTAGGTCTGACATAGTTCCTATTTCCTTTGAGATCGGGTAGCTGGAGAAAACAAATGATAGCGCGCATACCAGCGAAGGCTTGAAGCTTCAATTTTCAAAGGCAGTAGGTGGTGATATCTTAAACAAAAAGTAGTTAGATTATCATCCGACTCATTTTCAAATGGTCAATACAGAACGAAACACTTTACCTTGTTGTAACCTCAAAGCAGGTGCCGAAGACGTTAACATGAGTGAATTGCACCATTATATCTATTAGGTTGTAATAAAAGGAAGGAAAGGCGTGATCAGATATAATCTTACATTTACGTTTGAAAGAAGACGAAGAGGTCAAAAATGAGAATCATTGATCTCATGTCGAGTCTCCCTGTATATCAGCATGCTTCTCCATAGTAGTGATTCTGACTTGCATGGATGGAGTCTTATGTGTTTGTGTGCTGATTTACTCCACGTTTACTTCTCAGAAGATGCATTTGAACCAATTAGAAGCTACCTGCATGAGATCTGATTGGTCTGGGAAGCTTTGCCATTTGCGATCTAATTGGCTCATATATAAAGTTGTTCTCATCTTGGTAATAGGTAGGTCATTGTATTATTTCCTGCAGGTTTGGTGAAGCACAGTTGTATTCATTGGTATTTAACAACGGTTAATGAACCCGACAAATGAAGATTATGTGGTTGAGATAATTTATGTGAGTGAATGCAGCGTATCACATTAATTGCAGGCTGAAAAGAGAAAAGCTGGTGAAATCCACAAAAAAACTAAAATGATAAAATGATAAAATGATATCATGAGCTTTATATGCTCCGTTACTGTCAACGACATTTCCCCACGTTACACCAGGAGGCATGAGCGTCCTCTGTAAAATCCGGAAAGGAGAGCTTGTGCAGGACCGAAGCTGTAGCCGTCCTTGTGACAGTGATGCCTCTCCACTGAAACCTAAACGCATGGCGTAAAGTTCTCCTGCTTTCAGCTTGAAGACAAATTTGGAAACATTAAGTGCAAGGATCACTGATCCAGCAACCGCAGCATCATCAGTGACGTTCGACTCACTAGGGGTCAAAATAAAATAACTTTGTTCAACAATCTCATTCATTAGGAATGACAGGAGTGTGATTGAAATCAGATGCACTCATATCCGAGAAAATAGAGCTCATGCCGGTGATAATGACCGCATAAATGCTCTCATTACTACATTTGGTCTCATAGTTTCGGCAGAGCCACTGGGTGTGACAGATAGGGATGAGAATGACAGAGTCAAAAACTCGGTCATTTTAAGGGGCATCGTGAGGCCATGACGGCCGGTTGTAATCCAACGCATTGACCAAACCCTGAAGATGTGTCTAGAAATTGAAAGATTTGGTGCCCAAGTGTCGAAGAAACCGGGGTATAGACTTTCTAGCACTTGGGACCTAAAAAACAGTCGCTGTTAATTATTTGACTCTAGTAGGATGGATTTAATGGTTTACAGCATATATGAAAGCTTCTAATATGTAGATAGCTCTTTGCAGTACTACTCAGGAAAGTCCAATTTGGTTGCTCATTTGCTCCGGTCCGAACTTCACCACACCATGAATCACTGGAACGAGTGCAGAGAACAGTCCCACCCGAAATGACCTCCTCGCAGATGTTCGGAAACTTGGAAATGCGGAAATCGCCATGGATCCGAGCCCAAGACGGATATCTCAACAAACGGACAGTCAGTACGTTACGTGGTTTGATTGACAAGAAAGTGAACACAGACCAGGGACCAATACGCAGTTTGTAAATCTAGTTGGCAATAAAACCCATAGTAGATGCTAGGAATGAAGTTGCCTGTGATTAAGAACACAATGCCCGCACAATCCAGCTTGTTTCTGAAACTGGCGACCTCATGGCAATGGTTCTGAATAGCATGGAATATTGCTGACATTCCCAAACATAGATAGAGTGACTCCAATAAAGAAACACGCGAAAACTATGATATCCGCACATGAGGCAGTGACATATCTCAGCGAGAGGGTCTTGTAAAGTGTGATGCCAAAAAAGAGTAAGATGAAAGCAGGAATAAGGTGGGAGTAGACATTAACCGATTCATTGTGGAGATATGCAAGACTTGTCAGAGAGAGCATGAAGGAACCAGAAGGAGATGTAGATGGGGAGATTATCCGACTAGGCAATTAACTGAGAGCTTATGACACAAGATACGAGAAAGAAGAGATTGAGGAGTTGATGAGAGGTTCCTGGTTGTTTACACTAAGTCCCCTGAGACGTTCGACCTCATTGTTACTAAACTTTGCAGGTGGACAAACTGATTCTTCCTTTGTAGCTATAGCGTGAACTGAACTCTCGCCTCTATAAATTAGGGGGGTTTCAAACCTTATTTGACTTGTTATTTTTGAGAGTTTACTGCCCAGAGGATAGACATTGTACATAAGATCCAAATAAAATCATCGGCATCATATTCAGGAATCACTATCAAATATTAAAAGCAGCTCCAATTCAGTGAGCTAAGCTTATCACTCAAAAAACAAAATAACGTAACGCAATTTTGAACAATTCTCAATTCCCAATCGTAACGCGGCACTTAAAGGGTTTGTCACGATTATCAATATTGTTCATCAAAAGAAGAGCATAATCTCGGGATATGAAGTGTTCAAGCAGCTAAGAAGATCAATATCAACATTATGAGCTCCGACAAATTCAGCAGTCATATCCTGTCCTTCTGGCAGCTCCTGGACGACACGATCGTCAATGATTACCTTTAGGCCGTTCGGGGTTATGTGAAAGACTCGTGTTTTCTCTGAAAGACTGACCCCAGACATTTTTGAAATGCTATTGAGAAGGTTTGTCACGGTTCGCTGCGCAATATAGACTGCATGATAATACCCATCAACATTCTGAATGTCCGTATGTCGCAATCGAACATAGAAGCAAGCAACTAAAAGTGGTCAGAGAAGTGAGTATGAAAAAGAGTTGGTCACATACTTACTCACCAGACTTTGCCAAGTGACGTGAGGACAGGCTGCATGTAGCATCAATATCCACTGCCTCAATCCTCCCATTTAATTTTTCAAAAAAAAGATTCTGCATATTGATGGGCTGGGCCGGAGGAGCCATCTGTGCAGTGAGCAGCTGGTTTTCTGATCTTAGTCGCAAAATTCTGGACCAATCTGTTAGGCCATGCTGAAAATCGACATCAATGGATGAATTTCGGAAAGTTGACTGCTCGCGTCTACAGGCCTGCAATGGAGAATTCACATAATCATCTCTGGGGGTTGAAGAGGAGGTATCTAATGTCCCAGCTTCCATATAGATGGTTGGCAGGAATGTGCCATCGGCTTGGTGCGTAAAAAGCTCACTCTCGCTCTTCTGTGTTTCATTCAAGACAAAAGCAGCAGAAAAATCCACAGTATCCTGGTTGTCTTCCCTCAGGTTGAGTAGGCTGACGGGCGAAGTTGATGAAATCATATCCTGTTTCATGGCCACCTCGAGCAGAAGACGCTCTTTCCCAGACCGTGCTTTTGCATCATAATTCTTTGAAATCTTTGCTGGTCGGTTCTCCGGTTCAATGGTCATAGATGAAGCATCTCGTTTCCTCTTACCAAAATCATGTGCTTTCGTCTCCTCGTGTGAAATCCGTTGCTGGAGTTTGTGAATTGCCTTTCTGACATGAGCGATATCATTGGACAATTTACGCTCCGCTCCATAATCTCGGAAAACTTTCACCTTACAGTAGTAATATATCTTCATTGTGTCAAGAGCAGAATATATATTAGCTGGGTAGACCATTTCTGTCCTCACGCATAGTCTGACAGGAACACCCTTGACGCCCTTTGCAAGATTGAAGTCTGTTGAAAGAAAATTCAACCGGATCAATATTGTGCAGCCTATGCTCTTCGCCTCCGTACATGAAGTCCAAGAAACACAGAACCCATTAAGGGATGTAGTTTCCAATTCCACCTCTGAGGGTCGCGCTTTTCTATCTCTTCCTTGGTTGGGATTTATATACTCGACAGCCTGGACCTTGCCACCTCGCCGGCTAGCTTCACTCAATCCACGACGCTCCTTCCACAGTTGCCAGCAAGGATCGGGGTTCAAGCGTTTTTCGGGATCCTCAAAGGCCACATGGACGTACGTGCGGTATTTGATGGGATGGGTGGAAGACTTCGGAGGTGTGGAATCCACCACAGACATATGATAGACATGTCCCTTGCTTAGATATGTGATCGGGACCTCGCCTTTGTGTTCTACCATGGCTGTGGGGGCACAAAGAGTTACATTGTAACGAAATCTAAAACATATATCTATGATAAGCTTCATGTGCGCTCATCGGAACAGCACTTGAAAAAAAAATTCCAACTACTTACTTATCATTGTCCTTATTGATATCAAGGTCTATGTGCTCCGTCAATCCAGGCATGAGGGCTGCCACCTCCCGAGACTGTGGCTGGTTAACATGAGCATTCAAGTCACTATGACGGTCCACAGGGCCATGTTCCGAATTTTGAAGGACAAATGAGTCAGGATCAGCTGGCGGATTTTTAACATGCTTTGTTTCATTGAACTGGAGTTGGCACAATTTCAGTTGAAGGGCTCTCGGATCGACAACTCCAGGATTTGCTAAAAAAGGGCCAGGAGTTGGCAAGAAGATTGGGTCAGAAGCGGCCGCCATTCCTCCAGTCCTAGAAGTAGAAGTGGATAGACTTGATAAATCTAAAGGGGCCGATATGATTTCCCATTGATCAAGCAACTTGCTTATAGCTAGGCCGTGGTCCTTTATATCACTGTCCTTAACGAGCCTATGGTATATCAAAATTAGTAAGTTATGAAAAGATAATTCTTTTCATGTATTCAGATATAAAGGGGCATAATTAACTGCCTAGGGATAATTCACGTGTTATATATTGTTGAATTTATGGAAATGAATAGTGACAAACCTCGAGTGCCCGATCTGATTTATGAACGGGTAGATCCAAGCTTTCTGAGTAGCGGCGAGCAATGGCGAAGCATTCCAACAACTAGGATCAGGATATGATCTCTTGAAATCAGAATAAAGCTCTTTGTTTGGCTGCTGAGAATTGTTTCTGTTTTTATCCAAAGAGTTATTCCAAGCTCGACTCTGGAGAATAGGGCCTGCACCCGATATATCTCACGAGGCATACATACCGATTGCGAAACATTTTGGCAGTTCAAAACAAGAAAACAACAATAAGTGTTAAGTTGAACGGGGTAAAGATCTAGGTAGTGAGAGCATGCTAGATATTTAACCTGCGACGGAGAGCTTGAGCGCCCATTCCACAACATTTCTTGCTAATATCAGTTTCCTCTACAGATGTACTAGTTTCGTGAAAGATCTAGTTTTATGCAACTCATAATGATCGCCCAATCGCAACGCCCAATCGTAACACAGCGACCTATACGCAGCGTCCTGTTGGACGGCTTCTTCGTCCGGAAATTGCGGGTCAAGACTGTCAGACTTAATAATGGGTTTTGAAGTCCCGCCTTGTCGCACGCTTGCCCAGGGGGAGAATAGTATCGATTCTTTCTTTACCCATCCGACCCATCCAACTAACAAATAGGCCCTAGCCAGACCATTATTATTGCAATCCTCCTGTCCCGCACCCGTCAAAAATCCGCCTTCAGTCACATCTACATTGTTCGCGGATTGTAGGGGAACTCTGCAGGCGATTTGGGGTCTATCATCCCTGTTTTTTGAAGACCAATTTTCCTTACTCGTCGGGTTCATTAGCCATTGTTTAAATACCAATCAACATCAGTGTCGACCGCCACACACATATCTAGGCCATCAGTAACTAACTACTTAGAGTAAGGTTATATTTTCTCCTATCAAGAGTGCAGGTGCTTGGAAGCCAAAATTTACATGAACCATATGCCGCACATTTGATATTTCTCTTTTATCTGTAGGAAAGAAAATTGTTGAGAAAGCTATATATCCTGGAAGTATTTTGTTTGAGCTCCAAATATAGACCTCATAGCTACTAGAATAGAAAGTGCCCACGAACTCCACCTTGTGTATCTCTTTCCGCATTTTTATCATTGCCCAGCTAGAGTCTTGTACATACATGTACTTGTACATTACTTGGCCCCTCCTCCGTCCGTTCATAGCTATCACATTCCGTTCTTCATTGATGTTTTGGCTTGCCGTGAAGGTAGTATTTTTCACTGGGATTTTCTTGCCGCTCAGACACTGCCTGCCACAACGTACTGAGTAGTTATTGTAGGGAGGCACAGGAGTCCTTGCTTCTATAACGTGGCGTATTGGATAGAAAGGGTTACTACTTGATTGCCAATTTATCGGCGACAGTGACTTTGAACGTGAGGAGTCTCAAAGCCGCTCTCGAAGTGTGAAAAAGGTCAGGAGCTAGACGAGCGGAGCGGACTCGCTTGCTCTCAGTCCGCCCGCTGATGCTCTCTTCAACGTTCGGGAACACCTTCATCAACTTGATATTCTTCGACGTTCCTTCAAAGCCCATGAAAATATTGGGCTTGGTATTGTCGCTCTTTCTGACGGTGGATATGATCATCATACTTGGAGCTCCCCGCATTTGACTGGAAGTGCACCCGTTCCCTGAGGAGGTCGCTGTAGATCTTCGCACATCATGATTCTTATTCAGCATTGCCGCAGATATTTCAACGCCTTGCATTGCAAGCCAATCGGATTTCTGGATGGCGACAGGGTTTCTCCTAGTTTCTCAGTGTGCTTGCAAAATATGACTCTGCCTAGCTATCTAGCTTTTCCGGGGGAGGGGGGGGGGGGTGTTTCATCCACCATTTATACCCGAAAAATATGAATTCTATTATAATCTGAGATATGGCCATTGTATGCCAAAAAACAACTCCGATATCAATAGGATTATCCCCTTTGATGGAAGTGTAGAACGGAACAACGATGCATCTTTACTACTCACAGTTGAGCCCTAGGGGTTATGGGAAAGGATAATGCCACATTGGCGGTAATTCTTTTCAATACAGGAGGATTTCTAGGGGCACCTCAACCTCAATTTACACATTCAACTTCTCAACAACAATGTCCCCATATACTCTGTATACTCTTGGTCATCCTGCACAAGACCTCCTGGACTATCGCTTCTAAAGTTTCCGTGTCGAGAATGAAGCTCACAAACACTGTAGGCTCCGTCTTGCTGGCAAACTGCGACCTCTTCGAAGTCACTAAAATAAGCCAGACTCTGCAGCTTGTATGTAGTTATCTAATGGGGAAATGATCTCCAATGCCAAGGGAGAAAAAGAAAAGAAAACATAACTACATCAAGTACACCGCACACAGAAAGAATTTTGGCTAAGGTCTTATCATTTTCATTAAATTTGACTCAACACTTCCATCCTCCATGGCTAGTGAGAAGAAAAGCTAGAAGATCTTTAAAGGGGGTTTTTAGAGGGGTAGGGGGGTAGACGGGAAGAGGAACAATAACCCCGTTTGTTCTTCATATCCGAGATCTTGTTGTCCAGGCATGAAGGGGAGGAAAAACGTTTACCTACATATAAGACAAGCATCAAATGCTCGCTTACGCTCGCTTTTCTGCTTGCGCAGCCTTCTCTACCACTTACCAACTCAGCCTATACAATAAGATTGAATTTTTTTTTTTTTTTTTTTGAAGAATTCTCTCCCCCCCAGATCTGGTAAATCTATCATGGTTGTATTTTTTTGTTTTTTTTTGTGCCACCCGGGAGGGCTTGGACAAGGGGATCCGAGTCTCTTAATGAATCAAATATGAAGCACGATACAGAGAGGATTATCGAGAGGCACAAGAGGGAGTCGGAGAGGGTGTAGACATATGAATGCTAGAGACGGAAGT